ACACACATTGTCCCGTCACGTTGTGACCATCTTATATATACCAGACTACCCCAATCTAGTAATCTCCCGACAATTCACGAAGGTTCGAGAAAGAAGTGGCGTGATACTAGACACGTGACCTCGCTGACGCAACAGGTTTCATTAGGTCAGCCAAATGGCTATATTTTATTCACACTTGTACAGCGGCAAATAGCTTCTCACAGCTTTTCGATGTCTTCTCGTCCGCTGGTGGGTCAGCGGTAAGTGTGTGAACTTATAAGATTAAAATCCCGGAGATTGATTTACAACACATGACAAAAGAAATAATACGAATAGAAGTTATACAAGCAATAAAAGCTGCGAAGAACAAAGCTCCATGAGAAGATGGCATACAAGCTATCTTCCTCAAAATAGGTACTCAGAGATTGTTTGAACACCTTACAGCACTCTTTAACTTATCGCTTAACTCTGGTTACATCCCAGTTTCTTGGAAGCAATAAATCGAATAATTACCGTCCGATCAGCCTGACCAGCTGCATATGCAAAATCTAAGAAAGAATAATAAACATCTAAATTACCCGAAGTTCAAAATGGATTCAGAAAATTCAGGTAAATGACAGATCATTTAGTTAGATTATCTGAATCCATCGTAAAAGCTCTAAAGGACTAAAGCACTAAATTATTTCCCGAAATATTGGCGCAAAAACGATTTACTATGTGAACTGGATCGTTACTGCACACATGATGAAGATAAGCCTAAGGTTTTTTCTTCTTCTGATTCTTGACTACTTTATACCAAGGGGTATTAGATAACATAGAATTGGCTAAAGAACTCTTTAGTAGAAAGTATAGATACTGGATCGGATTATTCAGCAATAAATGATAAAATATGACAACAAATCAGAAAAAATGACCTAACACTTCAGTTAAAAACTTGAAGAAAAGGTAACATCTATCTTGCAGATGGAATGACTAAATATCAACCGCTAGGATACCTTGAAGCCAAACTTTTGGTAACAAATAGCATTATGGACCAATGTTTTGTTTTCGTTAAAGATCTGGCCGTATCTTGTCTCATTGGAATACACTTTCTTATGTAAAACGAAGCTACCCTTAACTTTTCACAAATGTTCTTGAATTAACTATGCCATCTATTAACGTTAGTATCAAGTCATGGCCAGGCATGTACTTTTTCTTTTTTTGTAAGTGATAAACTTTGTATTCCATTTGTTTGAGAGTTTTGGATTTTTGTAGTTGTTAAAGTTTTACTAAATTCTTTTTTTTTTGTTCGAACCTGGTTGTAGCGGCATTTTATTCCAGTTCGTTACAACTTACCTAAAACATCAGTTAAAAACGATAATGACATTGGTTATATAACCAGATTACCCAATATAATGAAACTAATTAAATCATGAGAGTTATTAATTTTTGAAGTATTTTATATCCAAATTTCACGTTTTTACCAAAATAAACACATTCAAACTGCGTCCATATTTATTTATAATGAATTGATGTATATGACGAATTAATCTAAATCTAAGTAATCAAAATGATTTTGATAGAGTTTATAATTTCATATTTCAAATTACCGTAAATAATCTCGGGAACCATGACAATCTATCTAGAAATGTTGATATTCTTCACCAATAGAGGGTGTGAATAAGGAACACAAGAAATAGGCTACAATGGAGTTAAATATAGTCGTATTATTGACAGAGAAATATTAGTTATAATATCAGTAGAAAGTTTAAATTCGATAAAGTTAATAGAAAAGTGAGGTTCTTCAAACTTCACGTAGGTAGAATGATCCTAACTACAATCTTTATTTTACATAGTTTTAACTAGAGTTATTTCTCTCTCGATCTGGAAAAAAAAAAAGTGTCTGCCATTAGCCTTAGGCAAATGTTTTTTATTGTTGTTAAATGTTACTATGTTAGGCCTAATAGTAACGTGTTAGCCTTATTTTAATTTGAACAGAAGTCACTGAGGTGGTTAAGCCGGACATAAATTTCAAGTTTTCAATGATTTTTTATTTTAAAATTTAAAACTTGGGAATTGTGAAATGTAACGGTCTGATTTAGTAAAATGTTTGACTGGTTAGTGTGAAGGGCCCTAAATTTTGAGTTCATTCAACCCTAGAGAGTAACACTAACAGCAAACACCATGACGTACCTTCCTTATCAACTCCAGGGAGGTGATCACCCTGAAAATCCGCGCGTTTGTCTCCCAGTGGTCATTAAGTGCAGATATTAGAAAATATGCATTTGTACCACCTTTATGACTATATTTATTATCATTTGCCTTTATTTAGTGGTATTTAGTTTCAATTTACTATATTTTATGCTCATACAAGACACACATATTCTAAATACAATACAGTAATATAAATGTTTTTGAGCATGTGAGTATTTTGGACTTCATTTTTATGTCAAATCCACTGAAACATCTTAAAATATTTTATCCCATTCACTAGAATGCAGAAACCTACTGCTGGTAGTGTATCTTCAGGCCGTCCGATTAAATGTGTGGTTGTTGGGGATGGAACAGTGGGAAAGACATGCATGTTGATTTCATATACTACTGACAGCTTTCCAGGAGAGTATGTCCCAACTGTGTAAGTTTATTAATAGTCGTCTTAATATGTATATAATGTATCCTCACAGTACATCTTTATCATATTTAGCCAGAAGTGCTCCACTTAATTATAACAGTATTTGTTGTAGGTTTATAAACACCAAACATCACAGATATCATTAAGTACAGTAGTACTCAACAGTAGAGATCATGATCAAACAAAATGGTAGCCATAAAAATTGCCGACTTAAAACCATCTTTAAAATGTTTAAATATTAACAATATGACTATTTCACAGTGTTGGTTGAGCAAAACTAAAGCTTATTGTACTTATAAAGCTATCTAAATCACTATACATGTGTTTATGCAGTGAATTTAAATTTCACAATTTCAGTGAATTTTCATTTAAGTAAGTGACTTTTACAGACAAACATACAGAAAAAATGATGAACCTTATTGCTTTAATTTTTTCATAGAACTCTTCTATCTGGGGTCTCAATCATTCCTATCTTGTACAAAAAAGGATATTAGTGTATATATATATATATAAAATGGGTGATGCACTGCTTTGAGTGTACAGTTAGATTTAGGTGTAGGTTGGTAGAGATAATAAAATCAAATTGGATATACACACACCCCACATTTGGTATTGCTAGCCCCCAAATATATAGCTAATAAAACAGAAAGAAACTAGTACAATATAAAAAAATTAAATTTTATAAAGACAGGTAGGGATCGATACATATTTATGTAACCTAGCTAACTATAGTAATATAGAAATGTTTAATGCTACAAAAAATACTGAAACAAAAAAGTCAAAACTACAAAAACTGAATTACTTAAAATTTAAAAAATTTTTATCCCTACTCTGGCTCAGATTAACATAATTACAGTGATTTGTCAAAGTAGGGATAAAATATTTGAATTTTATGTAACTCAGTTTTGGCTTTCTTGTTTCAATACTTTTTGTAGTATTAAAACTTTCTATATTACTATAGCTAGCTAGGTTACCTATATATATTGATCCCCACTTGTCTTTATAAAATTTCAAAATTTTTTTATTGTATTTCTTATAATAATTTCTTTGTGAAATACCCAGATTATGATTTATGAGCTGCGAAATCTTTTAACCAACTTATTAATAAAACTTAAAGTATAGTATATTCTTTTAGACACATTTATGTAATATTTGAAATAGCATAAAAACAGACACATTACATACCTATGTACTTAAAGAAAAAAAATTATGCATAAAATATTAAAAACTTTGTTTGAGAATGTAAAAACAGACACTGAAGATAATCCATTAAATGTTTTATGGACTTCTTGCAAATATGTCATACTCAAACATTGCATATTGTGAAAGTGTATGATTGAGGTGACTGAAACTATTAAAGCATAAGTAATAAGACTTTACAGACTGTGTTTCTACTATAATTTGTGATGAATGTTATGTTGTTTTAGTAAGACAAGCTTCAGTAACAAGAGGTGCAAGTAATTTAAATCTAGCTACTGTGCTTACTTATGTGTCCTTCTGATGTATTATTTTTTATTTTTGGCTAAAGTTCTTATTAAATGCTTTAGTTTTGACAACTACTCTGCTGCTATGATGTGTGATGGTATGCCTGTTAGTCTGGGACTGTGGGATACAGCTGGTCAGGAAGACTATGACAGACTACGGCCTTTATCTTACCCTCAGGTAAGTACATATTTAAGACAAGTAGTGTATCACAAATTCTTTTAAATATTGTATATATGTATGTTTAAGGACTCATTTGGGTTTACTGATCTGATATATGGATTTTTTTATTTTTGTGAGTGTGCAATTTCCTGTTTTCTTGAAACATTTCTGTAGTACTAGTGTGGTTAATTGTTCCATGATTTTTCAAATGTCTTCAAAGTACATACACTTTTGTTTGGTTCATGTCAAACTTGTGCAAATATTCATATTGTGAATTTAGAGTAAATGCAAATTAACCATATCATGACCGATGAGCTCATACGTGAAGTGCACACCCATGTATTAAATATTTAATATTAAATTTCAAAATTTAAGTAAAAATAATAATTCTAGCTATTTCAACAATTTTTAACGCATAAATATTTTAGAGTTGATATTTTGTCATTATATATAGAGCATTTATATAGAGTAACCTGCAAAGAAAGTAAAAAATTTTCCAACTTTCATTTCTATATAGCTCTATAGAGTCGTGCCTGTAAACAATGCATTTGTAGGTTTCTTTTTAGAGTTTCTCTGCCTATTAGTAAGAAACTATGATCCCTTGAAAATATAATGTTCAGAAATGTTTACTCAACTCTATACACAGTTTGCAGTAATATAGATACAGCTCATTTTGGTTAGGCTAGTATTCTTGGTTTAGCCTTCTTGATTGTAACTTGAAAAACAAATTATTCACCAGCAAACTGCAAGTTCAACTGGGTGTTTATATAAAGATGTTCCTTTTTATGTGTTAAGATCAGTTGATCAGTGATAAATTATGTCTCTTAGACTTTCACAAATTACATAAATAAACTTATCCTGAATTGCCAAGTCTTTAGTTTTGTATAATTTGTTTTTACTCTACCTCAGTGTAAATGAGTAGAAAAATAACACAAGTTCTTACTTTATATAATACAGTAACATATTGGCTACCATACATCACATATGTGTGTGTATATATATATATAAAACTAATGTTTTCAAATAAATACTTAAATGTTAGTTATTTTTCTTCAAACATAAAACAGTAAATAAAAAATATTTGGAAAACAATGGTCTCTACTACTTACGATGCTATGAAGTCCTTGTTTTTACTCATGAGCCATACTTGCCATATAAGCATTTTGGAATACAAAATAATTATAAATTATTATACCACTACCCCAAAAAATCCACTGTAATTTATCAGGCTTCCTAGCTAAATTGTATTTGGATCTAAAAAATATAATTTCTGTTCACAAAATAGCCAAAGATATAAGAGCATTTTTCTCATAAATAACTTAGGAAGAGTGATAGAATTATGTAGAATAAATACATAGCTTCCAATGATATAAGAGCATTTTTCTCATAAATAACTTAGGAAGAGTGATAGAATTATATAGAATAAATACATAGCTTTCAATTGACTATAAAGTTATTGGTATATAAAATTAGACATAGATAAATAAGTCCTCTCAAATGATAAAGTGGTGGGCAGAGCCAATATGGTGGGTTTGCTAAATATCATGATATCTCAGCAAATAGAAAAGGTAGGAGGTACTTATTTTATATTCTAACTTGCCAATATTGAACATTTGAGTTTTTAATTTGTATGAAACTATAGACGTATTTTGTAATCTGACCAAATATTTCAGTTGTTGCCATGTTTTTTATGATTTATAGCCAGAAATGGTGGCTATTTCAATGAAAGAACTAAAATACCAAAAAAAGTGTGTTAACGAATGTCAGTAAAATTGGGAAGTTGAAACTGACTGGATATATCAAATAAAATTTTCTGATCAACAGTCAAAAATATTAAAATTCTTAGGCACAAAATAGTATTTTCAATGCATTCTCAAAACAGTGTCAAACTTCCAAAAAAAATAAAAATTATATAATTATTAAATCAAATTATACATTTTTTATGTAAAAATGGTACCACTACATTCATTAACTAATTTTTATTTATTTCTATATGCACTTAAGAACTCAATAATATACACAAAGCAAACAATGTCCTATAACTATTATAATTTAATTGGCTTTTTACCTAAAGTATAAGTGCCTCAAAATAATTCTTTTTGCCACTTAATCTGAACACCGATGATAGCAACTTTCACTCTATAGGCAAAACAAGTAAAATTCTCTAATGAGAACAGTGTAACATAGTATGTCATTCAGTGAATTGTGACATTCCAAGGGTAATAATTAATAATAATGCTTTTACAGAACAATAAAATGGTTTGAATTTACTTATAAGATGTAGGATGGATCATTCCTATAATTATAAGTTATTGAATTCTGAACAAGGAGTAGAATTAGATTTACAGCACCCCTATGAAATACATAATTGTAATAGAAATGGGTGATTAATTAACTGGTATAATAAATTACCTAGGAGCATTGATTACATCAATTAGTGTCATGTAAAATTATCTGTTAGTTTGAAAATGTCTTTCAGAAGACTAAAAAAAACTATAAATAGGAATATAAGTCACATATGAGAATAACTGATCGGTTGAATGTGATCAGTTAATGAGTCTGACAATCACCTGATTAATACATTTCACTAATAACCCAGCTGTTGTTAATATTGTAAGTTTAAATTGTGTTTTGTTCAAATTTTGACACAGATACAAACTGATTTGCTTTTAGTCCTGAATTAAATGGAATATGGCATTATTATCAAAATTATACCTTATGCTACTGTAGTTGGGGGTGTGGGGGTGGGGATTTAAACCAGATTTTAGATTATAGTACCTGTAATGTGGAATCATTGCCATAATTGTACATTTTTGGGTGTTTTTGATACAAATTATTTGACTCTGAAATCTGTGATTAGCCTCTAAGTGTCAGCTAGCCTTATGTGTTGAAAGGTTTTAAGTAAACAAATGTGTATTAATTTTTGTTTTGTGCAACATTTATATTAAAGCTATTTGTAATGTTTAAAAAATTACAGAACTTCCCTGCTTATCAGATGTTATAAACATTCTAAATATTTTCTCTTAAACTTAAATATTATAGAGTGTTTTAACACTGATCGTTGACAGTTGTATACTTTTAGGCAGAATAGTTGCTGTATATATGTGTGTTTGTACTGGATTGTTAGATCATTTCGAGTTGAGTGGCAGTGGAAGTTATGGAAGCAGTGTTTGTTTTGTAATGAAAGTCTAATGTCACAGCCACCTCATTATTTCTGTGAGTTGTTGGGATAATTGTTATATGTATGTGGTCTTTCACTTATACTTGAGTCAGTGAATAAATAAATATTTTTGGCCTTAAAGGTTTTTTTACTCCTATGGGCAGGTACACGTGTGAAAATTTTACTAAGTTAAGTTATAATTTTATTGTTTAAAACTAAATCTTTGTTTTTGTCTCAACCACACAGAAATCTACATGAAACTGACCATATTTATTTTTTTCTTAGACTGATGTCTTCTTAGTTTGCTTCAGTGTGGTAAGTCCTTCATCCTTTGAGAATGTGACAGCCAAATGGTATCCAGAAATAAAGCATCACTGTCCAGATGCCCCAATGATTTTAGTTGGTACGTGTAGCAAAGTATTTTTTAAATTTATCATAATAGAACTCTAGGTAAAATGCAGCAGTCTTTATAATTGTTTGTTTGTTAATGATTAGAGTAAGTTGGAGCTGTTAAAGTACTTTTTAAAACTTCAGCTATCATAATTATATATGCATATGCACTACTTATTCTTTCCTGTGAGTTAGGACTTCCAAAGGTAGGAATCTTTTTCGGCATATTTTTGAATTTGTGTACCTAATTTGAGAATACATTAGACTGTATTATAATAATCTAATATAAAATAGTTCAGTTGAAGACACACCTATACTTATAGACTACCAGTAGAGTGAATTAATCTAGTAATTAGCATAGTCACTTGAAATGAACCAATTTACTAGGAGCAGCGAGATTACTTGTTAAAATTACATTCAAAACCATAGATGATCCAGTAATCTCTGGTTGTTTAGTGATATTATTTAAATTATCTAAAATTAATTGACATTAACTCTCTCACTACAGGCTCAATCCCAGGGACCAATTTCGTAACCCTTTTGTGCTTGTTATAGTTTCAATACTATAACCTTTAATACAGTAAGCATACCTTCATGACATTTTGCAGATTGTCAGTAAACATTACAAGGCTTTCGTACACAAAATATCAGATGTTTTTATTAAGATTTAAGATTAACTTTTAAGTAATGATTCACTCTTGCATTTTTTCAACATGCAAAGTAATTTCGACTTTAAGATTAAAAATACTTTTATTACATCAGAAAATTGTCATATTTCACATGTGAAATCTTTATAACCTCCAGATAATCATCAAACATTTTTTCTAGAAAAAAACTATATATATTTTCACTATTGTATCTCTGTATGGATTTGGTCAATTTGACCAACCTTGTAACCACCATAAAAAAATTAGGAAATAGATATAAATTATGCTTTTTTCATTCTAGGATGACTACAAATTATGACACAAAACTGCAAATGTTTAGTCTAAATAGCTTAAATCTCATAAAGTTATACATCTATATATGTTTATTATTTTTATTTTATTGACCTTTCAGCTGTGTCTGACTAACATTACACAAGTTGCAATGATGTAGTGCGTGTGCATTCATGTTACCATATCCAATAGTATAAAACTGGCCTTTACAAAGTGACCTGTCTTGGCTTTGTTCTAGTGGACCAGTAGTTTTTAAAATAGTCACATTTCAGTTATAACATCAGCAGTCCTTCGATAATTGTAGAAGGCGAAGAGAAGGGAGGAAGAAACCATCAACGTTTGGATTGATGACTGTTCTTTCAGAGCTTGTTTGATCAGAGCCGAAACTTGCTGGCACATTTCTCTTCACAAATGTTGCATTGTACTATGCAAAGTGTGTCTCCAAGCTCAACGAACCTGTGAGCCCTTCACCCACTTTTGGTGTGCAACCTCCGAACTATCCTTGATGGATTTGCACCATTTAGTCCAATCATTGGCTAGGGACTCCTTATTGATAGTAGATATATCAGCTGTGATTAGGTGATACTTTATTACATCTTTGTAATGCTGCTTGGTCCACCTTTCCACTGATGGCCAGAGGAAAGTTCTCCATAAAGTAGAGTCTTCGGAAGTCAATGTTTTGGCATATGCACCACATGAATAGCCCAGCACAGTTGTCTTTTAAGAAGCATAGCTTCTATGCTGGGAATATCGGCTTGCTTCATGACCTCCACTTTAGTGATTCTGTGTTCCCAAGATATATTCAGGATCACTCTGAGATGTATGCTGGACAATCTCTTTACGTGATAGTGTGTATAAGTCTTCGTGGAACATAATAGGGAGCTCAGTACCATGGCTTGATATAACTTGCACTTGGATTTTGGTTGTATGCCTTGCTGTTTCCAGACCCTCTTATATAATTGACAGATGCCACTTGGATCCTGTGGTAAAGCTCTGCATCGAGGTTGTTGTTTTTAGTGACTGTACTACCAAGATAAATGAACTGGTTAATGACCTTTAGAATGTTACCAGAGAGAAGAACAATTGGCTTTACATAATGAGAGTTAGTTGATAGCTTGTAGAGGACTTCAGTTTTTTTTATGTTAATTGTGAGCCAAAAAGTAGTGGATGCTTTGGAAAAATGATCTAGAATGGTCTGCAGACCATCTATCGAATTAGATACAAATGCTGCATCATTAGCAAACAGCAACTCTCTGACTCAGATTTCTATAATCTTAGTGCGAGCCCTCAGTCTTGTGAAATTGAAAAGACTGCCATCAATTCTTGTGCAGATGTAAATTACCTTGGCAAGATTAGCAGATGCAAGATCCAGAATAGCAGCTAAAAACAGAGTATATAATATGAGAGTCATTACGCAACCTTGTTTGACACAATGAGCTATTGGGAAGGCTTCCGATGTGGCAACCCCATGTGATACCTGTCTGTTCATGCTGTCGTGAAATTGGCGAACAATTGCAAAAAATTCTGCGGACAGCCAACTTTAGTGAGCAGCGCCCACAGAGCTTCTCTCCCTACATTTTCAAAAGATTTGGTAAAATCAACAGCTTGATGGGAACTGCTTGGTTTCTGGTAATCATATTTGCAGTTCCAAATGCTAAAGAAAATTTTTTAAACTTATTTATAGCTTACTTGTAAAGCTGGACAAATTATAGTGGTTTTAGGACATTCTATTCAAATGTTTGAAAGCTACATTAATTCTTTTGTTTTTGGACCTAAATTTATGAGACTCAACAAGGCTTAAGGAAGAATGTCTTAGATTTTTACTTAAGTACAGCTGGCTCGAGTACATAATAGATATTAAATAGCCTATTCTTATTTATATATTGTATTTATTGTTAGAAATTTTTCAACAAAAGTAACTAAACTGTAAAAAACTACAAAATTCTCAGCTTACCCTAACAGAACTTCAGTAAAATATAGTACTTAAAATTCCCTTATCACTCAAATCAATTTTAGCCAAAAGAATGGTATTACTCATTTTGATTCAAATTTTTCCACTTTGATGATTTCTGTACCAACCCAAGAATCAAGTATGGTAAAGAAAAAGATTAGACTAAAATTGTACCTAAAAACCATTTATTATTCATTTAGGAGTTTCTAGAGATTATGCACATAAAATGTTAAAACTATAAAATGAAAAGAATTATTTTTATAATGTGCATGAAAATTATATTTCAATCAGACTGACTCAAAAAAAAAAGGTTTCAGAAATTCATTAGTAAAAATACTTTATTCAAAAATTGATATTTTTCTGTACAAAAGACTTTTAATGTTTACTAAAATCTTGCCAAATTTTGTGAAGATAAACCTAGTAAATTTAAGAGTTATAGTATGTATAGTTTCACAGTTCCTTGGTTTGTCAAATCAACCAGCTTTCTACTGAAAGTGTTAACATATTTTACTCAGGAGCACAATAGAAACACATCAATGAATTAATTAGTACTGTAGTATGATATTTCTTACTATTCTCAAAAAATAATCTCTAGAAGGGCATTTATCATTGATGTATGGTTGTCAAGGCATTCAAAGTTCCTGCAGCTGTAGCTAGAATGATCCAAGAGTTGGCCATATTAATCAATTTAGATCAGTTTTTTAGCTGCATACATAATTCTTACTCTTTCATATCATGAGAACACAACAAATGTGCCTCAGCCTTGGCTGTCTGTGCAATTATGTTGAAAATATCTGGTGCCTTCTTCGTTTTTTGTCTTCAGACTTGGCTGGTAAGATTAATAATTTGTAGCATTTAAGACTCCTACAAAGGGCTTGGAGAAAAATGAACTTCAAGTTATAATGTATAGTTGTTTGAAGAGAAAAATCAGAAGACCCTTGAAGTTTTATAATATTATAAATAACATTCAATAAATTTCATAATGTTTTAGTTGCAGTAATAGTTATTGATACTTTGGTTCTTAATAAAATATTGTTTGTACATTATATCTGTTCTGTTTTTATTTAATCATGCCACACAAACTGTGTTACATACAGAACTATTAAAATCTTCCTGGCATTGAAAATGATAAGTTGTGTAATTGGTGGAAAACTCCTTGTGATAGTTATGGTGTCTACCAGATGTTACAGATATCTATTCCACATTTTTTTTATACAAACATGTAGTGCCTTGTTGTACAGCAATGATCTATCAGTGTTATCAGTTGTGGGTTCAAACAAAAAATAATTGAACTTAGTACTTTTAGAATATAACAAAAGCAGTCATCTATGTATATTTGAATATATAAAATTTATGCTCAGTTTAATATTTATTAAAATAGGTAATCACTCAGACAAGCATGTAATTCTAGTTTATAAGTTTATATTTCCAGTTTATATTATGGTATATTTTTTATTTGTACATATAATGAATATTGCATAAGACAGTACATAAGCCAGTCTTACAAGGGAGGGTATATCAAAGACGCAATTCTTTTGCACACAGTTTGTTGTTTTAGCTTAATGTTTCATCCACTTCTAGTTGCTTATTAAATATCATATCAGTAGAGAAATAATTCAAAACTGACCATAAAAACATAAGATACAATTTTGATTAATATTTAAATTAGCCCTTATGTAGTATTTGTATATGTATACTTAGATTAGTATTTTAAGTAATCAGTAAGCAATATATTGCATGATTGAATATGTTAACTTCAGATAACACATACACGCATATCACTTGTGATGAAAACTGAGTAAGGAAGGTTACTCAATCATTTTATCCCTTGGAATCTAGGAACAAAAATAGATTTGCGAGAAGACAAGGAAACACTCCAGTTGTTATCTGAACAGGGACTGTCTCCAATCAAACGAGAACAAGGACAAAAACTGGCCTCTAAGGTCAGAGCAGTGAAATACTTGGAATGTTCTGCTCTTACTCAAAGAGGTCTTAAACAGGTAAGTTCAAAGTTTTGAAAATCAGTGTGCTGTAGATTCTGAATCTTGATTTTTAAATGTGTGTTTTGGCAACTTTTTCTTGTTAGTTCTGAGAAAAGAAAACTTAAGAATAAAAACATAATGGTATACTTTTTATAATCTGTTTTTATTTACACTGTTTTTAGCTGTATTACAGTGTAAAAGAATTCTAAAAAATCTCTCTGATTGATCCACATACAAGGTTGATTCTTGAAACTACTGCTGTGACAGTTGTCGTTATTCACTAATGATCTGATTCAGTTATATTTTCCTTAATCTATTCTTACTGTTAACAGGGTAGGCAGAGTTCTTTCTTGGGATAGATTTCTGTCAATTGATAAAAATTAAAATTGCAAAATAAAAAAATCCGACTTCTTAATTTCAATACCCATAACTATTGAACAAATGAATGTTACAAATTTATGCTTATTCAGATGAACATTAACCGATATGCAACTTTGGAAAAACTCGGAAATACTGTAGCCCAGCATGTATATTATTTAATAATATAGTTGATTGGCAGTTTTCCTAAGTGAAGTATGCACCACATCATGACAGACTTGTTGTTGAACATGTGAGATTTTCATATGTGTTTTAGGCACAGTTTACCTGCCAATTTAGAGATGGTCCATTCAGAGTAATTCCTGCACAGTCATGAAAGTAATCAAACTTGACCTGATCTGTATTCACATTATATTGTCTGTAATAGGCTTAAACTTGTGAATGACTTAGCCTATAACATTGTAACTTACTCGTAAGTCATAAAACTAAACGGTCTAAAGTTAACATTAACAATGATGTCATCATAAGTATGGTAAGGTTAGGGAAGCTTACCTGGCTACATGCTTAGTAATCCTGTAAGGTTTTAATGCCAACAATACGGCCTAACCCAAAAATCTTTATATCTAATAGCATTTTAATATAAATCTACATCATACATTATTTCAGTAGTGCTTAGTGGTATTGACTTACTGTTGAAACTTTAACTTAGTAAGTTGAACACTGTGACTTTAACAAATCTCTGTTACTTGCAAAAAAAGTAGTGGTAATGGGTTGAAGCAATGAAAATCTGCCTGTTGGGGATTGCCCAAAATTTTCATAGAGCTAGACTTGTACATTTTTGGGTATGTCTAGTTAACTTTAGATCTGTATTTAACTAGTTTAATGTTATATATACTAATGCTGGTATAAATGTAGTCTATATAATGTACATAAATATAATGATTATAGTCCATTCTTATTTGAATTTGTTTTTAAAAATTACAATAAAAGATCTTGTTTTATTTTGTAGACTTGCTGGCTGTGTCTTTATTAGGTTCTACTCTATCAACTTTTTTCATAGCTAAATCTACACAGAAATATGAAAGTGAATTGATATGACTTCTAGAACAACAATATAAAATTGTTACAAGAATTTGGTGAAATTATTTTTTCCAGTTGGATTTAGAATAAAGAATACTTGAAAGCCTGAGATCTTGAGTCTCAATTCTGTTTATTACTTCTCATGAATAACTTAGTTGATGTATATGATCTTTTAACAACACAGTTCTCTGAGCAACAGGCTCCAAATAATAGCTCTGATTGAACTGTAAAGGCTGTACATCTCGCCTATGGCACTTGCTTCCCCTATATCTCTTCCTTGAGTGTTTTCACTCAATTCAGCCTCTCTCTCCTGCCATCCCTTTGTTAACTATACTATGTTTTGAATTTCTTACTATTCAGAAATTGTATGTGATTAACCAATAGAAATTTTTGTTTTCAGTCTTTGAGTAGTCAGTTTTTCAGGTTATCAGACTTTGCTAAGATTGATATAGTGTTTTGATGAAGTTTGTTTAGTTCATGTAAATTTTATGCTTTGTTCATACTCAGTTTTATATTTCAGTTTATTAAGTACTACACTACCTTTTTTTAAATAAGGTACAGACAAGCTTATGAAAGATACATTGCTGATCATTTAAATTTTCCACTTATTTTTATTTACTTAATTTTGAAAACATTTGTTTTACATAGTGTTTTATGTAAAGTAGGAATAACATCATTCTTATTCAAAGGTTTCATATGGAAGAAGCCCAGGTTTTATTAAGTTATTTTAGAATAGGTCACTGATTATGGCAGAGAAAATTTGTTGTGCCAAAATTCAGTATTGGGGAAACCCAATCTTTCATAATAAGCATTAATTATCTTATAGAATACTATTCGTTATAAATAGTAAACAACATAAAGTTATAGAGTTGCATTTAAAAGTTAATTAAACAAATGTATTATCAATAAACTTGGCATCATAATGTAGTTTATATCTCAGATTTCTATGTTATTTAAGTTTGATTTATTAATTTTCAAAGGTAGTATTTACATCAATTCTCAGTATCAAATGACACTTCTTTGCTTTGAACTCCTCATTTTAGATATTATTTCTACTCCTGTGTGATCTTATGAGTTTAGTTAGTTTTTAGTACTAAGTTGGCTTGTTCTGATCAGAAGTTAATGTAAATGCAATACTATTTGTACCAAAAGAACCCTTGGTGGCTCATTGGTAAGCTTGATGGCTTATAACACTAAAAATCGTGTTTCAATACCCACTGTCAATACAGTGCAGATAGCCCATTGTGAAATTTTGTGCTTAAAATATATATATATATATACCAAAAGTAATAGGTGGCTGTAACATATTTTGTTATAGACATCCTAAAGCAAAAGATTGAAGTAATGGGAGATTTCTTAAATATTTATCATCTAGATTATAAATATGGATAAAAATATTTGTCAGTTCAGTAGTTAATATGCATTTAAGTTAATTTGTTAACTGCTTTTGTGAGAGGATTTATCCTGGATAATCCATAATTTCCTAACTTTTTTTCTGGCTTCTAAATGTAATTTTTGTTAAAAAACTAACAAAAATACATGGTTATACATATCTATTAATTAACAGTTTTGTTTCAGTAAATTCCACCATTTTAGTCTGAGTCATTAAGGGGAGGAACTTCAGGGGAACATTTTCCCTAAAATTACTTACCTGTAATGAGTTCTATCCACAAAACTCAACTTTTGTTGTTTTAAACTAACTCCCTTATTTTTGTATTTCTATGCACGATCCATTTATGTATATTATGTATAACAAGTTCCATCCCATTTTTTGATACTTGATTGGCACAGTTTGTAAAATTATGTTACAGGCCTCAACCTTAACTTTTAAATATACTAGCAAATATGTGGTGGGTATATTTTTCCCCATGAGCAAATTCGGAACTTTTACCATTAACAGAAATATTTTCCCAAAAAATTAACTGTTACTATTTTAAAATTATTTTATGCATCAATTAATTTTGATATATATATATATATATCGCTATTTATATGTATGTATCGTTTATGTCAGGTTTTACTTTTCTAATATATTTGAACATCAAAAACTCTTGTTAATTATATGTAACAGTATTTTTTTATTTTACTTATTTCACAAAAGGTAAAAGATGTTCGAGTTGAGTGGAAAATGGTACATACAGTATGTTTTTTGTTGTTTTTTTGTATTACATTTAACATTTTTATATTTTCATGGACAGATCAAATATCTTACTATATTTGTTTTTTGCATCTTCACAAACATTAGTTTTTGGTTATAATGTAGGAAAATTACAGCTGATAACTGGATGCAGTTTAAATGTAACTTTTCATACATTAGTCACAGTTTTCACTCCTCTAACATTAGACAGTAGGAGTGACTTAATGAGTTTTCATTGGTCAAAAGATGTTTAGTGAGAATTGGAGAAAAAATAGGCATGTTATACTCAGCTATGTTTTTCAAAGATATTTACTTGTACAACAGTAATTCAAGCAAGAAGCTAGTGTTTTTGTGTTTCCTAAGAAAGGTATATTATATTATTCATTTAGTTACTTTCATTAATGGTGTTGGTTATACTATTTATTATATTGAATGTCATTACTTTAACATTTTATTTTTTATTATTATATTTTGACACATTTCGTAGGGTGTTTTTTCACCAAAAGTACTACAAATATTATAAGTA